CCCTTCATATAATGTGTTTAACTTTTTTATTACCAAATCTTTTTAATAAACTTAGTACACTAATTAACTATAGTGAATAAGACATTTGATTATGGATATACAAAATAACCAAAAAACTGAAGTAAACCGAACCGCCTCTTAAAATAACCGGTTTTTAAAAACCAGTTCATGAACCGAACCGGTTTTTAAAGAACCAGTTCAAGAACCGAACCGGTTTTTAAAGAACCAGTTCAAGAACCGAACCAGTTTTTAGAACCAGTTTAAGAACCGAACCAGTTTTTAGAACCAGTTTAAGAACCGAACCGGTTTTTAGAATCAGTTTAAGAATCGAACCATTTTGAACCGAACCGAACCGAACCGTTTCCGAACCAAACCAAATTGATTTTTATATCTTTATTTTTTAAATTTAAATTTTTTTTTCTTTTCAAAAGAGGGTCGACCCGAACCGGTTCCGAACCGAACATTTTTCCACCTAACCGAGCCACTTCTGAACCGAACCAGTTTTGAACCGAACCGAACCAAACCATTTAAATCGATCCAATTCAGTTTTTCAAAAAAACCGATTCGCTTCGACCCATACATATCCCTACATTTGAGTTACCGTTTTTAGTGTTAATATCGTGTAAACAAAACAATAAGATTTTAAGACAATGGGTTGATATTTCACAAAAAAAAGTTGATATGCTTTAAAAATATCTTGTTTTTGTCCCAACATAACATGAACATGTTAACTAACATATACGAGGATTCACTCCCTCCCATTCTCAAATGATGTGGTGAAGAAAATGCCATAAAAATGTAGTTGTTATAAAAATAGGATAATGATCACTTTCAGAATTTAATATTGTAATTGATCCAAGCCCTGGCATGAAGAGGAGGTTTTAGTTAATATACATGAATGTCATTGTCGACTAACATCATAACTTTTTTAAAAACTAATTTATTTTGCCGCATTTGTTTACACTGGGAGATACTATATAATAACACCGTTGAAATATATAGCTGAAAACAAACAACAACCTCGTATATTCCTTGTTCGGTAGGTAGGCTTTGTGATTAAAAATTGGTTCAATCTTCACACGTTGATGAGACAGGCAGACAGCGATCATATGATAAAAGTAATCACGAATTGTGCATTTTTTTTTTCTCTTCATGTACCGCAGAGCTCCAGCTTGCACATAATTGGAATTGATTTGTCTTATATATTAAATTAAAATAATTTTTTTAGAAATAGCTTAATTAATTAAAATGAAATGGCCATTTATAATTCAACGACTTAAAATCTACAACGCCTCCAAGTGCAGCACTCCAACAACTCAACAGGCATCACATTGAGATAAGGCATAATAAAAGCGTTGAAACAAAAACGGGAAAAAAGGATTGGCACATGGATATGGTGACAAAAGGTTTTGCACAAATTTTTTTAAAAAAATGTAAAATTCGAGGCAGAAGGAAAATTTTCTTTAACGAAAGAGGAGGAAGCGTTCAAGTTACACTTTTACGCAAATGGTGCAAGTGAAATTTTAATATTTAAATCAAAAATAATATAATCATAGTATTGTCAAATTACTGTATGGGAATTTCTATCTAGCTGATTTGAGAATTTTTAAATTAGTTTCTGTATTGGTGTAGTTTATTTTGTTTTAATTGACACCCAATTCTAATTTGGAGTTTATCAATTTAATTTGTGGTTTAATGTTTCTCATATATATATATAAAAGTAGGGTTTGCTTTTTCTAACGTCAATGTAGATAATTTATCTACATTAAACTCAAAATGACGTAGTTTTAAGGCGAAAATCAAGGTATTTTTGTAATTATAATTTATTTCAGGATTATAATAGTCTCTTTTTCATTATAATTTTTTAATTTTTTAACCCAAAACGACGTCGATTTGGGAGTGTAGATATCTTATCTACATTCACTGTAGAAATATTAAAGCCATAAAAATATATGGAGTCTATACTTTTTTTTTTCTCTCTCCTCTTCACTCGACCCCACATACTTTTACGTGCACGTAGAAAATAATTTTATCTCATGTATCAGAAGAAACATCAAACCCTTTATTTTTTAGGTAGTTTGGCACCGACCGTTATCATGATGTCTATAATCACAATGTTTCCATTCAGAAAATGTTCTAATCCATGGAGATAACATAAAAAAATTCATCATATTTCCCGCTTAACCCTATTTTATTTATTTATTTTTTCATGTAAATGTAGAGTACGGGGTCTAACTTTCATTACATCATAAGTTATGGTGATATTCAGCTCCAAAGGAGGTGCTAAATTAATTGTGTCCCGAAAGACAAATATAATGCATAAAAAATTGGGGAAAGTACTTCTTATGTGACTGCAGAAGGAAAAATTTGCAGCAACACAGGATACGCGTCCGAATCCTGGATTTTTTTTGTTTTTTTTGTTTTGATAGGATCCGCACGTGTATCCTAGGATCCGCACGTGTATCCTAGTGTTAAAAATTTGCTGCAACTTTTCTCATCAGCAGCCACATGAGAACCGACGGACCCTATAAAATTATCCAATGACCCAATATCTTCAATTGCTTGGCATATATGAAGCACAAATGCACAAACTGTTATTATGTAAAGTTATTCATTAATCATATTCTATACAAAGTAACGTTATTATGTAACTCATAGTCATGATCACCTTTACAATAGTCACTTAATCTTCATATTGGACTCCATAAGCTTTCCACAAGTAAATTTACGAATTGCAACTAGCCTTGGTCACTTGGGATGATGTTCAGAAAATTTCAAATAGCCAAGATGGGGTTAACGAGAGAGTAACAACGACCCAGTGTGCTCGGGCATCGAATGGCAAGCCACCAATTCCGAAGACTATATTGTGACAAAAGTTTAGCCAATTCACAAAATAAATGGAATTTTAAATATTGAATCATACTTTCCCTCAACACAACAATCGCAGGCAAGAAGACCTTTTTCGTTTTATTGTTTTTAACCTTTGTTACATGTAATATTTCAACCTTTCCTGCTCCAGCTGGAAAAAAAATAAATTCTCTCTCTCGAGAGAGATCATCCTGTTAGCTATAATTAATTTGCTACAGTAAGTTTAAGGGTTTGTCCACTCTCGTGAGAGGAATAAATCTTTGGTGCTACTGTTGCACCAAAGATTCAGTACATCCCACCAATAAAATTATTACATGTCAGCTAAAGTTTTTTTTTCTTTGCTAAATTTTTTTTCTCTCCTATGATGTGTAATACTTTCATTGATGGGATGCACTGAATCTTGGTGTAGCAGTAACACCAAAGATTTATTCGTAGGAGAGAACATATCTTATGTTAAGACACAAAGTGGTGGGGCCCACCACTAAAAAAAAAATGATAGCTCAATTATCGAAGTGTCTGTAGCATAAGATAGTAGTCTCCTACAACATGAAACTACTATTTTCCTGAGTTTAAATAATAGAATACATTTGGAACTGGATTTTCAAATGTTCTTTGTTACCAGGGATTGCTTATGTACTAAAGGATTGTTATGAATGAGACAGATGTTTGAAAGGGTTAGCATCCAAAGTTGTGAAGGCAGCTCAGGAAAAAGCGAAGAGAATAATTATGATCGGCTTGGAAGAAAAGCTATATATGCTTTCATTTACCCAAACTTCATGATCAACAGGTGCTTGCTTTGTTATTTGGCCAATTAGTTGATCATGTTCTTCTGTCATTTTCTTACTGATGTTAAAAAAGAATTTGGTAGGTTCAAACCTCAGCATTCTCAACGTATACAAAAAAAAAAAAAAAAACATTGGTATCTACCACGTATTTGTTTTGCAAATGAGCATGCTTTCATAACTTCTGGAGCTCGCTGCTGGCTTGATAGGTATGGATTTTGGATAGGAAAAAATTTAATATGTTCCAGGCCCACCACTTATTCAGTGGTCCCTTTTCCATAAATGGAAAATTTTCTTCCATTTCTACCTTTTTCTTTATGATTTTTTCCCCCTTCGTCCCTCCTTTTTTTCTATTTTGAGAAAGGACCACCATAGTCCAGGCCTACTAAATACCTTCTCCTCCTTGGATGGATACCAATCTTTTGACTACTATCTTGAACACTCTCTACGGGTAATTTATAGTTATATAAGCATATGCCTAATATTATATCCACGATTCAAGCCCATGATTCAGAATCTCTAAAATGTACCCTGGTGTTAAGCATGGGTTTGAACACCATTACACTAGGATAATAAGAAGATATGTTTTTTTTTCCTGTATAGGTTCACTTTTGGACTATTAGCTCAAGATTTTGTTTGCTGACATTTTTTATTTCCAAAAGAAACTTTTTTGGGTGATGTAAAAGTAATCAGACTCTATTCCATTTGGCATCAATATTAGTCTTCCAATCCATTATAAAGAAGGGAAATATAAGAATCATTTTGCAGGAATGACACTGTTCATTCCTGCAATAAGGATACGGCGTCATATCCTGACTTTGGTCTGACTTTTTTTTTTTAAGCGTGGGACCCACACTTGATTTGTGTGTGTAGGAAAGTGCTCTTGTCATGTCAAATGACAAAAAGGGAACCCTATAAAGAAACCATATGCTGATAGTTTTGTACCCACTGTTTATTGAGAGATCAAATTTGGAAGAAACTTAGGCACGGAGACAATATAGCCTTTAGAGGCAGGGTTGGTGAGATATGACCAGGGCATAGAGTGTTAAGAAATGAGTAGTTCAGAGCCTTGCTTTCGTAATTTGAATGACTCCATAAAAAAACAAAAATCACTTACTTCCTTGCTTTTTGATGGACACGTTAAGCAAAGCAATACTTTAATTAATATATTGATTTTTCGGAAATTAAACCAGGATTTACACTCATTTTAATGGTTCCATAGTTCCTCAAAAGGATTGAGCCTTTTCTTTTTTTGAATTTTGTGAGTTTTCACTCCATGAATCACCGAGGTTAAAGAATAAACAAATACTTATCAGAACAATTGAATTCAATTTAAAATATTAACTCCTAATGCCTTTTCTTTGACTGGGCAGGATGACAAAGATTTCATAGAGAAAAGTTTACAAGACAGTGAGAAAGTGCAGGTACAAACGTTGGATTTGCAGATTTGATTAAAAAATTTCCTCATTAGAGTAATATATTTGAATGTTCATGAGCAGATAGAAGATATTGTGTTGTGTGAAGGTATCCAGAAGGGCCTCCAGTCCCCAGCACATTGTGTGGGCAGATATGCTCCTACAGTTGAGCAGGCCATGCACCATTTTCCATTTTCATTGTCTGCTTTATGAAAACCTGTCAAAATAAATTTCATTGTTTATTACGGATAATTAATTACTGGAGCAACCAATAAGAACAGAATTCAATACTTGCACTGGGTGGATGTCTGAATTTGAAATTGATGCATGTCATGTAAATAGTACGCTAGAGAGGTTTTTGTTATTTTGAATAAATATCACCTATGGGAAGTTGATATATATCTTGTAAGTACATGTTTTGTTCTCTTTTGCCTTTTTTTATGATAGTTTGATTTGCATGAGGTAGTTGGATGAATGGGGTTTGATGAGTTGATGGAAATTTATGATAATTATCTCGCTGTATTTAAACATATATAAATCACTTCATTTCAAATTTACTATTAACCAAAATTGATTTTGTAAAATCAAGATAATTAAAGTTGTAAACGCTCACCTGACCTTGCCTGACTTGTCATAGTAGTGGCTTTACGGTAGTTGTCTGGAAATGCTATCATTGTGGTTGTTTCCCCGTATTCAAATATGTTGTCGTGAATACCAAGTTTTGCTGCTCCAGTTTAAATTCTGGTCATAGGAACCGGGGAATAAGAATTCTACATTCTCATAAATCTCATATCTCCCTCCCTAGGTTGCAGGACTATTTTTGAGAATGTCACACCACTTGATGTTAGGACTTGAAATCTTAACGTACCCAAGAATTATTTTACCGTAAAAATAAACCCCTTGGAGGTAGAAAACGTTTTCTTTTCTTTCCTTTTGTATAATTCAAGAAGTAGAGTGTAGATAGTTTATGGATTGAGGACAGCTCTCAATGAGTTATTTACTAGATTACAACACAATGCCGTGCAGAAATATTTCTTTTGAAGGGCGTTGTGCCTCATCAAAATCCAAATTACATATAAATAGGAAAGCAGCTAAATTGAAATAATGAAAGGAATTATCATCCATATCTCTGCTACTTTTCAAATATACTAAAATATAAAGAAGCGTTCATCAAACTGACAAAATAAAAATAAAATAAAATAAAAGACTAGCTGAAGTTGTTAGAACCTAGGTATAAAACAGATCCGACTTTGTTTCCAGATCTGTAAAAAAAGAAACGTCTTTGTGCAACCAGTATACTACTTTCCATTACCAAAAGAATGTTGACTCCTGTCAAAATAAAGGAGGGAGATAATGAAACTATACATGACTCCATCGAGAAGCCTCAGATTCCTTCTTTTAAGATCTTCTGCCACAACATCTTCGGATAAAGTTATTGATGGGAGTCGCGATAAAGTTACTGATGGGAGGATTCGCTGGCACTGGTATGAGTTTTCCAACCACGGCAAGAGGCCAGCTAAAAGAGTATGGTGAAAGAGAAGGGAAGCAGGGGAAGAAATACAGTTAGTATGTGTGCATAAGGCAAGCCCTTTAGCCTCTAATAGCATAAATGCATTAATATCTTTCGAGTTATACATGCAATATAAAATAACAATCAAGGCCCTTCCAAGTTTTCATCAAGAAAAACTCCAACAGAAACTCATTGAAGAAGAGAATAGTATGCCAAGAGCAAGATACCCTCTGCATTCAAGTACGTAAGACTATCAACTGACCTTATAAATCCTATAATGACGGAAATGAGCCACTGTTTCCAATTAAGCTTTACTGATTTAGTGAATTTTCCAAGATATTCAATGATGACAACCTAAAAAACAGTAACAAAGTTTATGGTGGCCCTACTAATATTTCATCACTAAAGCCAAACAATCAGAGAAGACTTCAAACAAGACTGACCTGAAGCACAACAGTTATTCCCACTATCCCCATAAAGAGGTAGTTTCTTGTGACTCCCTTGAATATGTTGAATTCATCTGGCTTTCGCGCATTAAATTCATTAAAGACCTACAGTTTTGGAAGAATATTTTGTTTGTCATCATTTAAATGAAAATCAAAAGAAGAAAATTGTAATATCCCAGAAAATTAATAGTAACTTATAATAATAATAATAATAAACTATAAATTAGTAGTAATAATATATATATATGATGGTTATATTATAGATAACAAATTATAATATAAATTTTGATAAAATAATTGTGTGCGATATGAGTGCTATAGGAAAATAATTTTGATACTTTGTAATACTCTAGATTATTTATAATAAAATAATATTAATATGTATATATATATATATATATATATATATATATATATATATATAGATGATAAATTATTATTAATTCATTGATGATTTATGTATTAATGTTTGATTGGTAATTTGATTAGATATGAAGAGTCAATCATGAGTCAGCCTTGAGTTAGCAAATAAGTTAGCTGTATTCTTAGCCATAAAGAAATTAAGAATAAAAAGAAAATAGTGTATGAAGCCAATATCTGAGCCAGATACATCAACGAGGAATAAAGAAATAATTGCTCGAAACTCATATCCGAGCCCAAAACTTCAACTATAAATAGAGGCCTAACCAAACCAAACCAATTCACTCTCAATCCTCAATAATTCTGCACTACTCTTCTCCTCTACACACTCTCTCTCTCCTCACTTCAAATTTTTATTTTTATTATTATCTTTCTTTGGTTACCAACCGCTACTCTTTCCCAAATTGTAGAAGTAACCAAACACGGAGACCAGGTAATCCTCATCCTTGGGAAATTGTAGATTATCTTTTAAATGAAATTTGTTTGATGTGATTTCAATGCTTAAGAAATTCTAGGATTGTTTTATTTGAAATATATTGTATGAAATCTTATTCCTTAGGAAATTTAGGATAGTTTCAATTGGAATATGCTATATTTAGGATATTTTAAATTATTTTAACATATAGAAATTGATAAGGTTGATTACAAAATTATTTATGGTATAATTATTTAATGATATGAGTTGGATGAATGATACGAGTTTGATAAGATTAATTCAAATAATGAATAAATGATATGGTATATATTATATGGTGATTACTATTATTATAATTTATAGTAGTCGAATTTGAACTTTATTCTGAAATGATTTGAATTATGAAATGATAGTCGAATTTAGACTTTACTCTGATATGATTTGAATTATGAAATGATAGTCGAATTTGATAGATATTTGAATTATGATAATTGATGAGTTGGACCTTATATTGAATAGTTTGAAAAGTTATGATGCCTTGAGCAACTGATATATTAAAAGAAGAAACTTTCTAAATATGACAAGATTGAATGTTTTTGATTGTGTGATTAATTAATAGTGGGAGGATAGCTTTGGGATGGTACCTCCCAAAGTGATGAACACAACTTTTGGGCTTTATGCCTTTGATATTTATTTAATGTGACAATGATGTTTCCGTTCTTATCTAGCAAGAGTGGTTATTTCCCGGGGTACTAGTACCCCCTTTGAGAAGAGGTGTGCACACTAGGATTTAATATTTTGATGATGGCCAAATTTGATGATACGTGGCTGGCAACAGTAGTTATTTCCCGGGTCACGGGGTAGACTGGCAACAGGGTTATTTCCCGGGTCTACCATGGTTCTCTTCCCATTAAGTACAATGAACTTAAACATGATTAATAATGAATATTATTTGATTTGATTATGATGAATGTCATTGAATTGTGAATATTACCATTTATGTAATATTATGATTAAAGTTGTGCTGAATATGTTAGTTGATAATTGCCCTTTCTAAATACACTAAATGGATTAAATAAAGATTAATATAATTAATAACAAGTTGATATTTGATTTGAATTATTGAGTTATATTATTTTATTGTATTATTATAAGTTATATTTATTTATTTATTTAATTTTGTATATCGGATTTGGATTACCAGCTTTGCTGACTTTTGTGGTTGTTTGACTGCAATGATCCTGCGTGGCTGCGGGGGAGCAGAGTTTCAGTGAATCAAGTTACAAAGGATCAGGCTAGCAGTGGACAGTGAAGATAACTACTCAGAGATTTTTGCTAATCCTAAATTTTATGTATAAGACATATTTCTGATTTTATTGTAATATTTATGAATGTAATAAAGAGCCTTGCACTTGTCCCTGTATAGGTGCGGCTGTAACATTTTCCCAAATTAGTTTTAGATTAGCTTCCACAATAGATATAAGATCTTAATAAATAGTTAAATGTTATTTTTTTTTAAAATTTTATCTATTAAAGGAATATTTTATTGTTGTTAAAATTGTTAGAAATTTGGGGGTGTTACAAAAATAGTGCAATTATAAGATGACTACCAACATATCTGTGAATGAGGTGAAAAATGAATTGGGCATCCATCCATAACCTTTTTCCGATATCAATAGGATTTAGCAGGAATGAAAAACTTAGGAAGAATCCAACACCAATGCTTACGAGAGGGGGACAAAGAAATCTCAGGAACAATATGCGGCAACAATCAATAAACAATGGAGCTACTCAACTACGGCAGAGGGAAGCCATCCAAAATCTTTTGGAAATTACTCCTGGATCCCCTTTCTTTAGTATAAACTATACGACTTGGTTCCCCAAAAAAATTGCAGTGAACATATCACTAAAAATTAAACTTCAAATCGACACCCTTTCAACAATCCTAAACCTATTCAGAGTTACACACCTAAGCCATTTGGGAATAAAAAAGATTGTAAAAGGAAGATCTCAACCACAACTATAATAGAAAATGAAGAAAACAATATTTTTCATCTTTTAAAGGTTACTTTTATCATGGAGGTTATGGATACCATCATGGCATCGTGGTAGGGCCCACCTTTGGCTAACACCCTGAATAACTAACTATCCATCCGAGCAAAGGTCCTTCCGGGTTCCCTCATCCGTTATCATGGTCTGGTGATACTCAAGGTATAACTTCCCTTATTTTATAATTTGATTTGTGCGACAAGTATTCTATTTAAAATTTTCTAACTTGTCTCAAATTATATTTCATTTAAGATTATTTTTTTATGTATTTCTGCATATTTTAATCCAATTAAGAGCTCTAAGTCAGAAGACAAATGAACGAGTCTTTGCCCCCCCCTCCCCAAAACCTGAATATGAAATGTAGTGTCCTCCTCTGAAGCTTAAACCTTAAGAGACTTTTATTTTCCCGTAAGTTGGTGAACTTAAGGACTTACTTGACAAAGAACAAATGCATTGAATATCAGAGAGTTCTTCACTTTGATTGCAAGGTCATTGGTCTCAAGCCTAAGACCCAGTAAGCTCCTGCCTCGAAAATTGAGTGTAAGCAAGACAGACACTTGGTATATTGCCTGAAAGGTTCCAACAATTACTGATGATTTAGTTAGAGACAACAGAAATAATATGGTATTCACTGCATAATGGTGAAGCAAGACACTATACTAAAGTTTTAACATTCATTAGTTGGCTGTTTGGGGCGTAGCTCATATTAAAATAAATCCCAGTCAACTACAATGACAACAGGGGCACTAATAAATGAGAAACAGAATTCACCTGCATCAGCAGATTCCTCCACATAATATTTGATACAAGAGGTTCTCTGAAAAGCAAACAAGACACTGTGAACTTCATAAAACAAAAACCATCAAAGCGCATAGGTACAGCATCTGATTTTTTGATTATGGAGCTTCAAACTCAGTAGGTCCATTTTTACAAATGCATTATGATCCATGCAAGCATAACCAATTCAGCGCTCACTAGCATCTTTACGGCTCTTGGCTACTGGTTATTTTCAGAGGGATTCATAAAGCTTTACTGCATTGATGTCATACTTTGATTGTCCCCTGCTATTTTGGTACTATGCAGAGTATATCTCATCTTTGGTCTTGTACGTTATTCTTCTTTAATTTTCTTTCTTATATTAAAAAGTTACACTGAAAACTAAAATGAAGATTGGCTTAACTAAGTAGGATTTAGCAGTATTGACATAAAGGTCTGGGATCCAAATCCTATTGGCGATCATTCATTGGTATGTCATTGTAAGTACCATCATAAATAATTAAAATAAATAAAAATAAAATAAACACTCATGGAAAAAAAAATAGAAAACTAAAAAACAAAAGAATTGGCTTTCCCCAGTGAATTGTTTTCCACCCTTCTAAATTTTCAAGTTCTGTGCAACACTGAAATACCATATCAAACAGAAGTCATGACTCATGATCCAAAGTCTCAAGTTCCAGAAAAAAAATATAATTTTGACCTTCGGCCCATTGGACGCTGATCCATCAGGTGATCAGTTGGTGGTTCAGTTGCCAAGGCTAGTGCTCCAAGAGTATCCATGATAAGATTTACCCAGAGAAGCTGTTGAGAAAGCAATAAAGAGATATAGCTCATAAGCATGACCTCCTGAATAAATGAGTGAGCCCAAACCACTGATACACAGACAGAGAGCAAACCTGTACTGTATTTAGTGGGATGTCACCAGAGGAAAATGCAGCAACAACATTTATAACAAGAGCTGCTATATTGACTGTAAGCTGAAACTGGATAAACTTCTGAATATTTGCATATACAGACCGCCCCCATCTCACAACCTGCATTGGTGAAGAAAATTGAAAGGCACTACCAGTTATGCTTCAAACATCAATTTATTATCAACTTACATAAAATAATACTTGAAGCTATGCAATGCACCTCAATTCTATATAAACCTCTCATGAAACAGAGTATTCAAAAACTTATAATTCTGCATTTCAAGTAATGTCAGAAGTAGTTCTTCAAAAGGTGGGTGTTAATTATGCATCATTAAGTCGGAAACAATTTCCCCCAAAATAAGATATGAGGACTAACCTTCACAACTGAAGCAAAATTGTCATCCAAAATAATGATATCAGAGCTCTCTTTAGCAACTTCTGTACCTTGAATGCCCATTGCAAGACCTATATCGGCCTAAACTCAAAAAAAGTATAGAATTACTAACATAACCATGAAAACAAAAACTAGTTTACATTGAACCAAAAGTGCATTGGAACAATAGATTTAAAATTTCACATAAGGAAACGGAATCATTCATCCATATAAGGACTTGTAGTCATGTGATTACATGATACTGAGATTCTAATAGAATATAAAAATCGACACAGCAATAACAATGTTGGCATCAGTTATACTCACCTTGTGTACCATTACAATTATTGTCATCATCTTAACATGTATTTAAGATAAAAATAAAAGTATAAGCCCCAAAAAACAGAAGAAAAATATATGCAAACCTCATGTAGTGCTGGAGCATCATTTGTTCCATCCCCAGTTACAGCCACGACATGCCCCTTCCTCCTCAATGCTTGCACAAGCAAAAGCTTGTCATTAGGGGATGACCGTCCCATAACCTATTACATGGCATTGACACTTAAATCTCATTTTCGAAGGAGTTACACAACTAAGGCTGTTATAGTAGTTGGATTTTACCAATATCCTTTCAGCAATTTCTTCTCTCTCTGCATCTGACAAGTCACGAAATTGTTTTCCTTCAATGATGTTTCGCTCTGTAGCATCAGCAAAAAGTATTCCACATTCCAAAGCAATTGCTTTTGCAGTTTTTACATTGTCACCAGTGACCATTTTTACCTAGGATTAGAAACCCAAACCAAACAAATCAATGTCTTTTGTACATAGAAAATTGTACATGCCAAGCATATTGCATTTCTTAACCTAAATAGTGCTTTTTTTGCAGGATATTGAAGATCAGATGAAGTAAATAATAGAAAAATTGGCCTTTGCAATCTTAAAAGTTTTAAAAGCAAGACATTATTGTTAAAAAAAAAACATCTTAAAACTGTTCTTTTATGTGTCTAATAATTAATGTATGTTAAACCCCTCTAGTTCTCAAGATTTACCTTCTACAAGGAACATAATGACTAAGTCTAATCCTTTTTTTTCTTCAGTAGCAAGAACACAATCATCTTAAATATGACACTATCTCAATACACTCCAGTTCTCAAGATTTACCTTTCAACTTTTTTTGATAGCAGGAACACAATCATCTTAACTATGACACTATCTCAATACACTCTACGGTTATAATGTAATAAGAGCAAAGCTATATAAAGATTAATTGCTTGAGCAGTCAAACTTATGTAGAAGCCAGAACCTCGTGTTTCCGAACAGCGGCACAGGTTAGAGCCCCTGATGCCACGTTGCCACCAAAGGTTCCTTCTTATAAGGAAATCCTAGCCCGTTCGTTGGTGCTCTCTGTTTCTTATGTTATTGTCGAGGACGTGGCACAAGAAAGTAATGAATATTGAGGAGGATTATGATATGTATGATGCTCAGACTACCTTTGACAGTGACAAACAAAGAGAACCTTTCCCCTTAATAGAATTCTCTCAAAAGGAGCACACAGAACTCTGTAAACCACGGTGACCGGGGCTTGACTGGTCTCTAGTGAAAGTGTTTAGCAAGAGAGTGGGTTTCAATTTTCTAAAACTTAAAAGGAGCAGCTTTAACGAAGGGATGAGAGAGTTTCTCTCATTGAACTTAGCATAGACTACTTTCGGGACAAACGTCCTAGTTTTCACAGAATATGATGGAACCTAAAATAATGGATCTTCTAAACAGAATTTACCAACACTAAATGTAAACAAAACCTCCAAATATATTGATATCAACAGTACCAGACATTACAGAGACGGTGACCAGTAAACACAACAAAGAAATGGCAAGGAAAATAACAATAAAATGACAATGCAGAAAGATAAACCAAAGGTCTCAACTCACCCTCAAAGCCAAACACCTAGGCCTCAAGAGTTCCCTAGAGGTCATTTCCCATAACCCCATTCCAAATTCTCTCCATACCTCGTATCACACTACACACACTCCTTTTATTTTAACTCAGAACATTCTACAAGCTTTCCTAATTAACTAACTAACTAACTAACTCAGGCCCATCAATACTCCCCCTTCAAAATTGACCTTGTCCTCAAGGTGAAGAGAAAGGGCAGATAATGTGAGAGAATTTTCTGCCTGGATCCCATATTTTGAAGCCTCTTGACCCCAACGTCAGCTGCAATTCCTGAGCCAAATGGATTGATAAAAAATATGCCATTGTTTGTCGACTTTCTCCTTCCTCTTCCTTGTTTACCATCATCTCCTCCCCTGCGCCTATGAGTATCCCATTCAAATTCTGGTTATTGCATACATAATATGGCAAGAATGGGTCATCATACCGAAAGCATAATTTACTTCGCCATTTGTCTTTTCCATAGTTAATAAGATTTGTCAGATGACTTGTCACAGAAATTATGGCATTTGATGGCTTAGAACTCACCCTTCTAATAACATGTTGTTCGCCACCTCCACCCTATGAATTTCCACAAGAGTATCATTGCATCATCCATAAAGAGCTCCAATAATAGGATCTGAAAGAATAGCCATCAATGATTCCCTTGACTCGGTTGAATACATAACATCATTTCTTCCATTAAACCCACAACCATTGTCATCCACCCTAACTTTCTGCCCAAAAGCTGACCCTTCCGTGCCTTGAAGATAGTGCGAATAGTAGTCCTCATAGTCAGTTTCAGCAACGGTAACAGAATCCTTCGTTGTCAGTTTTCGGAATCGGGCAGTTCTCCGTTCGCCACCGGTGATGCTGCCAGTCGTCATCTACGATGCAACTGCCGTCTCTTGATTTCATTTTGCAACTATTTGGATGGATCTTAGGGTTGTTCTTTTTGATGCAGATGAAGTGGGCCCCCATTTCACCCCAAGCCCATGACCTGTCCCTTGTGGATCAAAGGCAAAGCTTAGCCCATTTTCACTCTCTTTTGCAGTCCCCAACCTGTGAGTGTTTCCACATTGGGCTACTAAATTTGGCCCATCATTCCTTGTCCAATTATTTGCTTTCAGCCCAATTCCCAAATCCATATTTCTTAAAACGGGTCGCCCATTAAATCAAGTATCTTTTTCTGACCCGCCACTTACCCGACCCATACTTGTTGTTACCAGAGTCAGATTGTTCCCCTTCTCCTCCACGCGATGTGTTAACGCCATCCTCCGCTCCAAATCATCGATGAGAAGCAAGCGCTCCTTTGTTTTTATGGCTTCTGGTCTTGAATCACACCCAAAATAATGGATACCAAATTGATGGAACCTAAAATAATGGATCTTCTAAACAGAATTCACCCACACTAAATGTAAACAAAACCTCCAAATATATTGATATCAACAGTACAATGACAATGCAGAAAGATAAACCAAAAGTCTGAACTCACCCTCAAAGCCAAACACCTAGACCTCAAGAGTTTCCTAGAGATCCTTTCCCAAAACCCCATTCCAAATTCTCTCCATACCTCATATCTCACTACATACACTCCTTTTATTTTAACTCAGGACATTCTAGAAGCTTTCCTAATTAACTAACTAACTAACTCAGGCCCATAAGAATATCTCAAGAAAAGAAGAAATTTTAGCAAATAAAATATTTAATGTTTTTTAAAATAAACACATATTTCAATAGTAGTCATCAACGGGTAAAACTTGAGCACATAACATCATAAGTGGAGTAATATAATAAAATGTAACAACTGTACTAAAACATGTTATGCTTGTCTCAATGAGCTAAGTATCTTGATGGGAACAAAATGACTTTAAACATCAAAAGCATGTACTAATACCGTAACCCCAGCCTTTTGGCAAAGCTGCACTGCATCTTTGACACCAGGTCGACAAGGATCCTGCATTTCAATGCATAATTGACATAAGACAAATAATAAGAACATACTGAAATGATAGAAATTAACATGTGGAAGTCATTCAACAAAGAGTGGGCCCTTTAAGAATGATTATAGACTCTAAACAAGACATACCAGAGAAAGAAGGACGTATGGGCAAATTATAAATAATAGTGCTAATGAGAGCTTCAACATAAAATTAAAGATAAAGAAAAAACATTTGAGTATAATATTTGATAAGACGAACTCAATCAGGAAAATATAATAATGGTAATATAACAAAGATGACAATGACAATGTAATTTCTGGAGGAAATACATACCTTCATACCAACAATAGCCAGTAAAACAAGATCATCCTCTGGTAATGACCAGTGAGCAAGTTCTTCTTCACTAGTTGGAACATTCTCCATTTCACACAATCTATATGCAATGGCAATACAACGTAGACTTTCAGCAGCCATATCTTCAATAACCTTTCTAAAAAATGTCATCTGCAAACCAGAAAAATTTCACTTAAAAGAACATTGTCAAAATCAATAAAAAACTAAGTATCAAATGCCATCCAAACAGCTCAAAGTATTTTATTTTGTTACATGAATGTATGTGATGTAATGACAAAAGATAGAGAAACGAGATGGCAAAGTAGGAAAACTAATTAGTGAAAATTCTTATAAGATATAGAAGATTTCCAAACAAGAGAAATTTTGGGGAGGGGCAAAATAAATTGGCCTTTATTTAACAACTGATATCAATATATGACTATTTTCTCAAACCTCCTCTTCATTCATCTTCACCAACTGATCATTTGCATCCATATACCCTGTACAGCAGGCTAGGACTATCTCAGCAGCACCTTTCCAATGTAAATGAATTTCAGAGTCAGCCTGCAGAGAAGTATAAAATTATTAGAAGTAGCACTCTGGATGACAAACAGGATGCAGTGCGTCATTATATAATATATTAGCTGCCTAATAACATATCAATTAGTTTAGAACAGAAGCAAAAATTCTGCATATTTGAATTAAAATGCCAACAATGCAAATACCGTCTGTATTGCAACTCCGCCTCGTTTTTTGTCTGAATTGAATGGAAAGACGTGAATTATTGATGATTCTGATCTGGCATCCTCAAAACTCATCCCCAGCTGAGATGTGATATAACAGTCACAAATAGTTGTAAACACACAATGCTCCTTAAAATGAAGGAAAAATTGAAGTTTCAAAACAGACCTGAATTCCCCAACGTAAAATTGCCTTTTCTGTTGGTGATCCAGAAAACTCAACACCATCACCACCCTGTAAAGAACAGAATTATGCATAAAGTATTAGATCCACTCAAATAGGAAATTATTATAGGGGCAAAAAACAGAGTGAAGAAAAACATTTCTAGCATACCTCAGGTGCATAAACACTTCCATTAGTGTTCTGTGCAACACCTTCAATCAGCAAAGAGCAGAGCATAGGAGAGAGCTGTGACTTTTCGTGAGGAGGATCAATCTTCTTCCCACCAATACAAGCCTTAACTACAGTCATCTGTCTCAAAGAATTTAGGTGAAATTAAAATCTGCTGGGCGCACTATTATCTCAATCAATGCCAACAGAAATGAACTACTTCCTTAAAATATTGACCCAAAATAAACAGCAACTTATCAACACCCAGACCATGTTCCGTTGCCCATTCATGTTAGTTTAATAAGATGTCAAATTGACAGGTCAGTTGAAATTCTTAACCCCTAATCGTACAAGTTGAAAAGTTTCCTACTTGACATAAGCTCGGAAGCACATATGCCACAATAAAAAGAAAATATGTGCAACAAGTGCCCTCCAACAAGTTTATGTGACTTACAATGAAAATTTAAAATATAAATCAGGTTTAATACTGCATCACAACTAACCTCGTTCATTGTCAATGTTCCAGTCTTATCACTGCAAATGGTAGTGGCCGACCCCATTGTCTCACAGGCAGAAAGCCTCCTCACCTGCAATTAAATGTGTTATATTAAACAGCATTTCTCAAATAGATATGTCAAAATCCAATCAAAGCACAAACAATAATTGGCATACCAAAGCTTTATCTGCCATCATTTTTTTCATTGAGTAAGCAAGTCTATAAATAGTTGGCGGACAAAAAGTGTGTTAGTAGAGAGAAATAAGATTCAAAAAAGTTGAGATAGAAAAAAGAATATTCATAATCTAATATGGACAGAATATAGATAATGGTTTCATCATATAATTTTTTTATATTCTACATTGGATCAATACTGGGTTGGATTCACTAACTTCGTCCCCAATTTACAGCCACTAAAAGAATAAAGGATCAAATCTATAAATCATATTGAAGTATAAGGACACTGACAACGTTATCCATAATGTGCATTGGCACCAATGCTATGAGATATCCATCAAGACTAGGTAATAAGGAAAAAAGTAAAACTAGAAATTCAGATAAAAATTAGCAAACTTACGTTAAGGTAACTGCTAAAGGGAGCCCTTCAGGCACTGCAACCACTACAATGGTGACCTACATATTCAATGAGTTACAATCACCTCATACATTTTAATTTTAAACCCGGAGAAATATTATGAATATTAATCTGTAAAAGGATCGTGCATATTCTGGTAGTCCAGTACTTCTCAATGCACGTACCGCAACAGTGGCTATCTTAATTGCACCGTTAATAGCATCACCAACTTTGGTCTTGCCTGCTGTAAATTGAACACTTCCATCTGCGTTTTTAATATGCCCAGAGAAATATCTGTGCTCATAGGTTGCCATTCAGAGACATGCATAATAAAAAAACTTTGTTAATTTGCAAATTACCCACTTCAACTTTTGAGCCTTCGGCAAATAATCCCATGATTTCACTGTTGACAATTAACACTCTTATACTTTCAATATACGGCAAATATCTCCGTGTGGTTTCAATTACCTGCTTAAACTTTCAACAAATGGCAAATTACCCTGTGCCTTCAATATTGACAATTAATCAAATGAGTTACTTGAAACTGCAGGGGTTAATAAGCCATATGTTAAAACTTCTAAGCAGGTGATTGATATAATTGAAATCATATGGAGGTTAACCACAAAATATAAACCACGGGGCTATTTGATAAAGGATCAAAGTTGAACATTTGCTATTAACCTAAAAAATATAATTGAATCCTACAAAGAAAAAGATGGCAACCTGGCCAGTAGCACAATCAGAACAATGACAGCCACAGAGAGTCCAACAATGCCAATGAAGGTGGCGAGACCATTTAAGCGTACCTATATTGAGGACTTAAATTGGTACACATACTATAAGCAGCAGAAACTAAAAGAGAGACCACAAGTAAAAAGGAGACCTGCAAAGGGGTTTCTTCACCAGTGTCTTCTGAAATGCTAGCCATTAGAAGCCCCCATTCAGTATTAATACCAACAGCGGTTACCTAAGGAAAGAAAGCAACCAACAAAAAGAAAAATCAGTAAAAGAGCAGTTTAATCAATAAAATAGGTGGACTAAAACTAAGAAAGAATTAACATAATCAATTCAACATATTGAATTATTGAAAGAAGTTCAGAACAATTTAATCATTCTAATTTCTCTCTGCCTCAGTTGTTGTTAAGAACCTTGAGATACACCATCCCAAAAGCTAGCTCAAAGGGTGGGAGTGCTCAAGACCTTATAAACTCAGACTGGGAATAAAATCCCTTCCTGAACAGCATGCACTAAAGGAGTGAATAATCAAACTCTATGCAAAGAAAATTTTCCATGAAGAACAAACAATATCTATATAAATCAAATTATGAAACACTTCCGTGTAAGTGCACAGTTTTTTTGTCCTTGGGATAATTCACACCCATTAAAGCAAAAAGGGTTAGGGTCCTATTATATATGTTATTAATTACAGCCACATCCCTTTGAAAACTCAATAATTTTGTAAATAAAATCAAGAATGAACAATTACAAAATGGAAGGGAAAAGGAATGTCTGAAATTTACAAGCATTGTGCCACTGCCATCGGCAACTTTACATCCAGACATCAGAAAAGGTTCATTAGAATTCTTATCGACCTGCAAAAAGGGAAATTGTTGTCAACTTAGGAAAAGAGAGAAGTATTCTTATTCTCCTCATTATAGAAATAAATGCTTACAATCTTGCTCTCCCCGGTCATACTTGATTCATCAATTGCAAGAGAGTGACCGGTGATCAAAATTCCATCAGCAGGGACCTAGAAAACATCAGTTAAGAACTAAATAACAAGAAGGAAATGCAACATTAGGTATGATATGCAAAATTGACAAAAGATAAGCTCACGTACCTGGTTACCAATATTAAGGGGTATAACATCACCAACAACAACATCATATATGGAGATCTCAACTCTTCTACCATCTCTAATAACCTTCTCAAGAACAAATTGAAACATAAGGTTAAATTTTTTTGATAAACTGATAATAATTTAAAAAATAATAATAATAACAATTATCAAAAAGTATAGCTAAGCCACCTAAAAGTAAAAAATAAAAAATAAAAACAAAACAAACCTCCAAATGTATGTTTCTCTTGTGCTCATTTAAGTCTCGAAACTGAAGAGACTGCTTATAATCACTTACAGCTACAAAAAGAGGAGAAACGAAAGAGGGTAATGTGCCCTTCAAAGGAGAACATTACTAGATATATAAATATTATGATAACCTCCACAATAAATGACAAAGTTGATCATGGACTTGTGTCTACACCAAACACACTTTATATGAAATAGCAAACCGAGAAACAGAATCATAAAACATATGCTTTAATGCATTATAACCTTTACAAAGACAAAATATTAATACCTGTAACAACAATAACTAGAATAACTGCAAAAGCAATGCTTCCCCCATCGTACCATCCTTCCGCAATACCCTGAAACAGAAAATTAATTCTGAACTGGGTCAACCTAATTCTCAGCATTAACAAAAACATATTATTATCCTAGATTATAAAGGTCCTAACTGAAAATATAAAGGCTATGGAACACTAAAGGTCAAACGAATGAATTGATGGAATAACATAAAAGTCAAAATAGTGCAATTTACAGATATATCATAAAAAATATGATGATTTAGTCTTGAAGCTCTCCCAAAAGATTGCAATTTACTTTAACGTTATTACAACCAAATTAAATAGGGCGAGCCTAGAGTAGTGGTAAAGCTGCTCCTTCGTGATTGAAGAGTCGAGTTCGAATCTAAGAAACAGCCTCTTTGCAAATATGTAAGAGCTGAGTACAAGGATTTCCCTCACCCTACCCTCTCTAGATGGGGTTTAATGGGGAGTGGTGGTTAGAACCAAATTGTGCTCAAGAACCATAAATAACCTCCAACAGCTTCACAAACCAAAGATTTTCGTTAATTCTGGTTAGAACAGATTCAACTAATATGCAAGGGTTATATCAAATTAAACATTCATCAAGACACCAAATTCAAGCAGGCTCAAATTCCAGCACTAGTATGAGAAAGACACATAACAGGATTCAATTTATTTATTTTTTTCAGCAATATAGGAACAAATAATTGCACCATAACTTTCTCAGCTAACCTCAGATTTTATCCCAAGTGCTAATGAAGCCATGGCAGCTACCATTAAAATAATCAAGGTCAGATCCTTGCAAGCATCCCACATAAACATCTGTGAAAGACAACAAAGACGAAGACATCAATACAATAGCCCTCTAATAAAGAGAGGATCATCAAATGGTCAATGCATTCCAAAATTTACCAAAAGAGTTCTTCCTTTCTTTCGAGGGTAATTGTTGGAACCAAATGCATTCCTCCGTTTTACCAAGTCAGCATCATCACCTCGAATTCCCTTCTCTAAATTGGTTTTCAGTGAATGTGATAACCCTTTAACCTTAACAAATGATTCATAAGAATCATATGAATATTTATGACACTAATCAATACCATTACCAAATTAAGAAAATTACACTTGGCACACTTACCCCTCCAATTTCCCGCAGAGCAGTAGTATCATGCTCCCTTGAAATTGAAGAAAGTTGCTTTTGTCCAATTGAAAATTCTCCAGTGGAGCTTGAAGAAGGTTTTACAGTTCCTGATCATAACAGTTAAAAGCACTAATCATCAATATTAAAAAAAAAGAAAAAAGACAGATCAACTTTAGTAGCTAGTTCAAAAAAGAAATAAAATGTGCCTGTCCAACAATATCATCATAAATGATAAATGGATATATCCTGTAAGCAGTTTAGGAATAGGGTTTTGATTCTGTCATGTTACAGGAAGAAGGTGGAAGATTCCTGCAGCCACAAAACAGTGGGCCCCACATTTAAAAAAAAAAAGTGTGGCTCTGAAATCGAAGTGAGTGCAGGAAATTGGTTTTCTATTCCTGCAACATAATATTTATATTTCCCGTAGGAATAACATAGTATTACAAACACCATTTATCATCATAAAAAGACAGCGCTGGAATCCCCAAGACTACGCTGACGATAATGAGAATACTTTCAATCATTAGGTAAGACCGTTAAAATCTCACTAACAATAATTCTTAAAAATTATTTATGCTGAAAATTAACATGTAAATATGTAGAAACAAACTATATAAAGGGGAATGAATATGTCACAAAAATATAATTGAAATCTTAATGGAAATTGAAGTGAAAAAATGATAATTGGGCCACATTAAACAGATCAGACACCAATCTTAGAAGCAAATTTCAAGAAAAAATGGTAACTGTCAAAACAATTATAATACTTGACTTCTAAGCCACGGGGTTCCCAGACCAATATGCAGCAACTCATGAATATTAAGGCATTAACATGGCTTATCAAAGAGAGATCAGTGATGTCAAAAAAAATATAATTCCAGACTTGTTCCAGGCCAATATGCAGCTTGTAAAGAACCTTGGGATACACCACTCCAAAAGCTAGCTCAAAGGGTGGGAGTGCCCAAGACCTTATAAACTCCACATTAGTGGCACATACAACCAATGTGAGACTATATATCTCAACACGCCCCCTCACACGAGAGCCCATTGGGCTTGAAGAGTGGACAATGCAACAGGCCCAGCCTACCTGTGCTAAGAAATGCCACAAGAGAAAGTGGGGGACGGCGAGGCTCTGATACCATGTAAAGAACCTTGGGATACACCACCCCAAAAGCTAGCTCAAAGGGTGGGAGTGCCCAAGACCTTATAAACTCCACATTAGTGGCATATACAACCAATGTGAGACTATATATCTCAACACAGCTGATCAAATGAATACCATAGCTTTAACAAAATTGACCCTTTAATGTTTATGAGCAAACATGCTAAAAAGTACAATAATAAACAATAACTTGTTCACCAACTACTAGAACTAACAGCCTGAATAGCCAAACAGACCAAAGTACTGAACTCATAAGCAGAATAACAAATTAAACAAAAAGATATAAAGTACAATAATAAACAATAATTTGTTCACCAACTACTAGAACTAACAGCCTGAATAGCCAACAGACCAAAGTACTTAACTCATAAGCAGAATAACAAATTAAACAAAAAGATATAAAGGACAAAAGAATAATTTAAGAGAGTGAACTTTATAAATTGCAGAACAAGAATGAAAATGAGTGTTAAAATCTAGTTACAAAAAAGGCAGTTCTTGCAAATCAGGAGACAGGAGTAAATCATAAATAGAAGAACTACTATGAGTTACTAGTATGCTACAATTTATAAACAAATAGTAGTGAGAACAATCCAACTACTCACCGTTCACTTGCTTCCCAGCTTCCTTGAAACGATGTGCTGCCTAATAGAGTAGAATAATTAATTAATTAGTAAACTTAAAAGTGTGTAAACATGAGCAATAATAGAGAAAGTCAACTGAAGGAACCAAACTTGAATAGCCCGTGAATGCACTATAACCATTCTCAATATTCGCTTCCTCTCTTCTTCTCTCTTCAAGTCCAAGGTGTAACGAAATCGACGAGAAGCATTAAGCACAAGTGCCGCTTGCTAAAAAAACAAAAGGAATTTCTTGTTTAGTTATTGAACAAAACAGCGTCTCCCAGATATAAAAAATAAATACATAATGCATCAAAATAGTCAAATACAACAAGCCATTGATGTTAATACAGTAATTATTACAAGCAACACTATACTGCTGAAACCATAAATGAAGGTGACTTCAAGTCCATGGTGCATGATCAAGAAAATGCTCTATATCTTGTCTTCAGCCAGTTTTGGAAACTGAAATTTATATTTGCAGAGGCATAACTGCAACTTCAGAAAAGCCATGCTCGTAGACAGAATTTTATATTGATTCTTTAAACTAACATGAAAAACTCAATCATTAAGTGTCAATTTGGAAGCAACTCCCGGTACTGTAGTCAGTTAACTTGTACTTGAACTTCTTGCCATGTGAGAGTTTTTAAATTTTCCAGTAATATATAAAACCAGTAATTGAATGATTTCTTTCATTGCATAAATATAGGAAGGAAAATTTTAAACTTCCGAAGTATCTCATTACAAATTAAGTAAAAAAAGTCGACAGGTGAGAATTGAGACTTGACTTTGAAGAGTTGAGAGCACAGTTTCTTGCTTTCTTCTTTTTGACTTCTCAGCTAGTGCTCACATCACTGTTCAGAGCTATAAAATCCTAGTCCCCGACTCCATTCTTGCTTTATTTGCAACCATTAATGGCATCAATGTTCTTAACATTAAAATATTAAATTAAATATTTCCTCAGGTTTGTCCCATTAAAAACCACTCCCTATTTAACCCGACTAGCGAGTGTGGGATGGAGGCAATCCTTGTACGCAGCCTTACCCTTGCATAATTGCAAAGAGGTTGTTTCCTGAATTCAAACTCATGACCTTTCAGGCTTTCAGTCATGAAAGAAAAACTTCATTTTTATTTTTATTTATTTATTTTATTCTATTGTTATTTTTTTTTTTTTTTTTAATCTCCTCTTATCTATCATTGAATTCATCTACTACCGACTCCAATTAACTTGGGTTAAAGGTGCTGTTGATGTTGATGTTGTCCCATTAAAAACAAGATATTTATATTTTTCAGCAGGCACAGAGAATGAAACCCAACAATCCAATGGTCTTTTCGAATCCAAATTTATTTGCCATAACTGAATTCCAAAACCCTAAACTCAAGACTTCTTTAACCCACAGTGTACACTCAAGAAAAAAATGAAATTCACATCACTTCAAATTATAATAAACCAAAAAATTTCAGAAACTGAATCTCACTGTAAGAGGACCAGCACATTATCCTTCGATGGCCTTTACAAGAAACATATGGTTTGATCTCACTGTAGCTTCCTAATTGATGCATTCTTCTTACTATCCAGTTAACATTGGGTTCAATTCATCTTCAACCACACCACAACTCTTTTAAAATAATTACAGGAATATGTCCTCCCTCTTCCCTTCTCTACATCTGAATGGTTGTTGATAAAACTTGAAATGGATGCAACACAATCTTCACTCAAAATATTCTCTGTTACTAAGCATATCTGGAGTTAGCGCACAAGTCAAAGGCTTAAAGCTGGCCTCCTCTCAGCCTCTTAAGTACTTTTCCCAAACTTATGAGCAGGGGTAAGCCCTTCACTACCAAGCTTCTCTAGAAGGATAAAGAACTAATATTGTTTATGTTGATTTTGGCAGAAAATATCCTGGACTGCTGCTGTTAGTCCTGACAACACGTTACATGTGCTCTTTACAAGTATATAAAGGGATTCAATGTAATGCTTCTTATGATTGGCTGATCCAATTGTGGCAAAGAAATGGCAGTAAGCAAAGTAAGCACCAAGATTCCAATCCTTTGCATATAGTGTGTTGGAAAAGATTCACAAGATGTTCAAACTAGTGCCGAACATCCCAAAAATTGCTTCAATTGGAACTTCTACTGCATTTTTTCAAATTCTCCAATCTACTCCAGATCTTTTGTTAAAAATGTTAGGGTGTGTTCCTTCCTTTAAAACTTGGTGGCTAAGCATGCACTTCATTTATGGGTGCATTACTCAATGTTTGAACACAATCACCTCAACAAATGCTACCCACCCCATCATTGATGAACACAATCTCCTCACCTATATAAGCAGATGAAACCATTTGTGTAAAAAGTTTTTAGACATTGTGAGTGTGTGTATACTCTGAAGAGAAGTTTAAGTGAGAGACCTCTTTAAAGAAGAAACTTGTAACCACCATTGTTGGTGAAGCTTGAGTGTACCACTATTGTTGGTGAGGTTTTAGTGTACCTCTAGTGCCACTAAGTATGAATCCTTTTGTAATCCTATTGTTTCATAGTCGAAGTTTTTCTGGACTTGTGTTCCGTTGTTTTTACTCCTCTACCTTAGAAGAGGTTTTCCACGTTAAAATTTGCTATGACTTTCTCTCCATCTCTGATCTCTTACATTTCCTGTTTTGTATGTGCTGGTCGACCGGTAATACTAAATTGTTGAGCGGAAAACTTGAAGACATTAGCCCGTCGGATTGTGTGTACACCGGGCGATATAGCCTATAGTGCAGATCGAGTAGTTGTACTAGGCGGTAATACTAAATTGCCCTGCTAGTTGTGTCGGCCAGTAAACGCTTCCGCGCGAATCATTTGAGGGACCTCATCCCAACAATGGTATAAGAGTCCAGTCATAAAGGGTTTTGAGGTATCGAGATGGAGACCAGCATTTCCCACGACGGAGATATGTTTAAGCTGACCGCTGATAATTTTACTTATTGGTGACCAATGATAAAAGATTATTTGTATTGCAAAGACTTGTATGAGCCTATCCTCAGTGTCGAGCGACCTGAAGGAAAGAAAGAGATAGAAAAGAAGATCCTAAACTGAAAGGTTGTGTCCACGATCAGGAAATACATCGACAAAAGCCTCTTTGAGCATGTTTCTGAGTTAACCAATGCTCACGAATTATAGACAAAGCTGGAGTCCATGATTCAAAAGAAGACTCCAAGGAACAAAGCACACCTGGTTCGCCGACATATAAAGCTTGAATACAAGGACGACATGAGTATAATTTGTAAAGAACTTTGGGATACACCATCCCAAAAGCTAGCTCGAAGGGTGGGAGTGCCCAAGGTCTTATAAACTCCACATTAGTTGCTCATATAACCAATGTGGGACTATATATATCTCAACACGCCCCCTCACACAAAAGCCCATTAGGCTTGAAGAGTGGACAATGCAACAGGCCCACCTACCTGTGCTAAGCAACTCCACAAGAGAAAGTAGGGGACGGCGAGACTCTGATACCATGTAAATAATAATTTAGTTATTATTTAGTCATTTATTTGTTGTATTGGGCCAAGCCCATTAGGTCAAAATTAGGTTAAGTATTCTCTATAAATAGAGAACCCTTTGTACAGATTATTTACAATTCTAAAATATATCAGAATACCCTTTTTCAAGTTGGTATCAAAGCTCTCGATCTTGAGGGCTCTGCTTCCGCGCCTACGAAACCTTTCTTTTTGTTTCCCATCTCTCGCTGCCATCAGCCGCCACCGGAGAAATTTTCCGGGGACCTCTTGGACCGAGAGATCATTGTTTCTCTTTGTTTTTCTCTCATCTTCCTCAGTAACAAGACCCCAAACAGAACTGTTCATCGTCACCTTCAAACAGAACGTGTTTTTCACTAACGAAGAACACTGTTCATCGCGATTGACCTTCTTTCTGGCGGCCATTCAACTCCGATCAGCCCCAGATAGGTTCGCAACCCTTGGACGACCTTCGCCTGAAAAGCCCAGCCCGATCGGACGTCAGACGCGCCGCTTCTTTCCCTGCGCGTGAATCTCACGCGCCGCCAGCTTCACCGGCGCGTGACAGCGCGTGACGGTGGTTATTGGCTGCGGACCGGTGCAGTCTTGATCGACTCTCCAAGCTCGTTCTGGATCTGTGCTCACCTCTTTGATCGGACGTCGTTTGGTAATTTTTCGTGATTTTTTGGCTTCTTGGTACTATTCTTTGAGTTTTTTTGCAGTATGGCCGCTTCCGACGGTGATTCAACTCTAAACTTATCTAAAAAAAATTCTACCCCATCTGTGGTGACCCCTCTTGGTCACAATGATCTTCCAAGTCTACATCAGAGTTATCGATTTGACGGATCAAATTATTTGTCGTGGTCTCAGTTCATTCGTACTACCATCAAGAGTCGCAATAAGATTGCTCATCTTGATGGCCCTGCTCCTGCTGCCACAGATCCCGATTTTGTTGTTTGGGATAATGAGGATTCTCTTATCATGACTTGGTTGTGGAATTCGATGACTCCTGAAGTGGGTCGTCATTGTATGTTCTTGTCTTCTGCTATGGAGATTTGGGAAATTGTCCGCTCCATTTATTCCTTGAAACAGGATATGGCTGCGCGCTATGAATTGCGCAATAAAATATTCACTACAAAACAAGATTCTTTATCCGTGACCGAGTACTATGGCACTTTGAAGGAGTTATGGACTGAACTTGATCAATTTCAGAGTTTGAAGATGAAATGTACTGCAGATGCTACTGCTTTAGCCAAGGAGGTGGAAAATGAGCGTATTTTTGATTTTCTTGCTGGTTTGAATTCTGAGTATGATCCTATTCGGGTTCAGATACTTGGCTAAGAAACTTTTCCATCCCTTTCTGCTGTTTTCAATACTGTTCGGGGAGAGGAGAATCGTCGGGGTGTTATGATGAACCCTGATAAATCTGTCATGTTATCATCAAATGATGGTGCTGCTTCTAAACCCACTGATGGGTCTGCTATGATTTCAACAAAAAAGGATGGTTCTACTTACAGGAGTTCCTTTCCAAAATATTCTGATGGAGCATCTTCTAGACCTAAGAAAGATGATCGCTGGTGTTCTTATTGTAAAAGAACAGGTCATATCAAGGATATACGCTATCGCCTCCATGGAAAACAAACCGTCTTAGAAAAGATGGCAAGGATGCGTGGTCAAGCGCATTTTACTTCTTCTGATATAGCTCCTACACCTAATGAGACCCAACCTGCATTT